CCACAGTAATGAAAAGGTTTAGGCAACGTGACAATAATATTTTTACGTTTATCCCTTTACAGCTTCAGAGCTAAGAAGTTGGATGAATTCTGTCAGTCGGCCCCCGATAAGTGCACAGTAAACCTGAAGCTGCCACTACTCAAACGGGATCCGAGCACACAACTGCTGGAGGTGAATTTCGACGATCAACTCGTGGAGGTCCTACGGGAGGTCCACTATTTGCTCATGTTGAGCGGTGAGGGCGCCTGTGAACATCCAATTGCACCCGAATGGGAGACGGTGGTCTTTACACCAGTGGACGAGATTAGGAGCAAATTACCTCCGGCCAGCATTGCCGTCTTCGAGAAGACGGAACCCTTGCGCGAAGCCCGACTAAATCTTAATCAAATTGCCTTTGCCTACAACACCATCCGAAGGGTGACATTCACCGTTGAGTATCCCCTTATTGCGAATGAGGTTGATGTCTTCGATAAGGCAATTGAACCAGCTTTCAGTTCATTAAATTGGGACCGCGGTACGTGTTAAGCATTTAAGTCAATAACCCACCTGTCAAAATTGTTCGCGACTGCGTAGGCTTATCCTCTCTCTGACGTTTTATTCCAGATAATTCCGAATTTATCAACAACAATTTGGCCACGATTAGTGATCTTCGTGATCGCCTACTGACAGCACATGACAAGCTGAAAAAGATCGAAGAACTGGCAGCTCAGTGGAACACGGTACCTCTCTATCAGGGCAAGGAACGGAAGTACGACTGTCTCATCCCATTAGAAGATAGAGACACCATAAAAGAGGCCCGTTACCGCGATATGCATAATGCATCAGAAGCTATACTCAGGCTTGTTGCGGTAAGGCACCAAATACCGTTTGTTATTTACTTTGCATACTCATTTACTTCCATTCACGGCAAAGAGGCAATATGCGGCCCCGATCAGGCAACAATAAAAAGTTCAACGTGTAAAACAGAACTAGTCGTAATAGGGGTTTTACGGATAGGGCTAAATGATGGCAAGGAGTACACGATATAAGCTTAATACTAAAAAGTTCGTATTTTACCAAAAAATATCTAAATAATTTGTTTAATCTTGAAAACCATTAAGATAATTAAATAATCTGACTAAACAGCCCCAAAATACCAGGCCTGCAAGCCTAGATCGCCAAAATACCAATAATGGGAACGATATTTTCAAAACACAAATAACCGGAAAACCTACCAAGGAAACGTGTGTTCCAAGGGTATAGGCAACACATGATGCCACCTAAAGTAGTTCCGCTGAGGGAAACAACGCATTTTCCTTAATTCCGAGTCTGAAGTTGCGGGAATGCAAGAAAATGGGCAATGGCCCAGGTTGCAGCAATCTAGACCAAGCGGCCGAAATTAGCCGAAGCAAAGTTAAACACACCTACTTATGCAAGTAGATAGTTCTAATTGTTAATTTTGGTTAGGAACCAGATTGCGTATTTACCCCGTTCAAATTAACCGCGCGGCATAACCAAAGCTTTGTACAGTACATCAGTCATGGTCATGGTCAGAAAAGTCGACGCTAACGAGGATACAACACTCAAGAAGGACCCAGACAGGTGCCTTGCGCTCACTGAGATCAGGTTCACGAATAAAGAAGGCAAGAGAACAAAGTAATGCAAATAGGTCTTGTTTCTTCTTCCGTAACTCTGAATCTCCTTCCTCACCAACTCATTTCAGGAGATCTTGGAGCTCTACCAAGCGGACACTGAGAGTGCGGAGTGGAAAGCCTACTTGGAGGCCATGGAAGACCTGATTCTGGAGGGTCTGACTGAAGCTGTGCGCTGCAGTCTGTCTTATCTGGCCAACCACACAGACAAAAATAAGACCGATATGCCTTTGATGGACGGAAAGTTAGTTATCGACGTGAGTGTTCTTTCCTATTATAAGAAAACAAGACGTACTTTTAAACTGAAAATTAACCTGCGTTGGCTAGCATTTTGATACTTTTTTGTCCTCAAGGATCCACTCTGACAGCCGTACTTTTATTGGTATTCTTATGCAGGCGCCATTTTGCACCACAGCAATCTTCCATAACTTTTGAAATTACAGAGTTATTTTCTAGTAAATTTCAAGTTTTGACTAAGCGTATAAAACGCGATGACAAAAATCCATAGGGTTGGCGGATTTTACTTACTAACGCCTTACCTGAAGAACGCTTTCTTACCTAGAAGATGTTTGTAATTGCTCTATCAGCGAAATAACGTGCACCGGTAAATGCATTTCGCCTGGCTTTAAATTAGTAATAATGCTTCCGCAAATTTACAAATATTTAACGAGCCACCATAATTCTCTTTGGAAGACATATACCCCTCTAACAGTTGTTTCATGACAGTTTTTAATTTAACTAATAGCGTATGAATCACAGGCCGTTCTTATGGAACTTCGTTCTATTTGGCGATTACATTTCACGTTTGGGTAATCTATCAATATTGCCTAAACCGCCATTTGCACAGAAAAGGTCTGAGAACTCGCTACTTATATGAAAACTTTTAAGAACTATCTTACGCTAAAAGTGTTCACAAGCGAATTGAGGCGAATGTTCGCATCCCAGATGTGTATATAGGTAAAAAAGAAGACACGTCGATCATCGGAATCATACTAACACATTGGAGAATCGAGTAATTTAAAAAGGCCAAGGTATTTCATGAAATATCAGTAACTTCAGGAAACTCAGCGGGTATCGCCATTGCCAGAATGTACACATCAATTGGGCTAAAAGTATTTTCCTGATACACGGAAAATGGCACGCTTATGACCGCATCCGCTAACTGTATTCCGGTTTCAGTAAAAGTTCAATTTAGGGTCTCGAACAGAACGCGAAATACCTATCCTCCTGTAATGGGGGACAGGTGGCAATAAGGGTTAAATGGGTGGGGCGTATCAAGGGAAAGAAAAAATAATTAGAAAGCAGAGCGTATAAAAGTGTAAAATAATGGGAATAATTAGTAAAATAACCAAATAGCCGATTATTTGCGCGTGGTAATTCAAATGGCCAAATAGTGCCCAACTGGTCGACTCTATATCATATATGTATATAGAATTAGTATAGAGATGATAAGTTCGATACGGAGTCGCGATTGCGTCCAGTTTGGCACTATTGGACCATTTTAATTATCGTGCGCAAATAATCAGTTATTTAAATAAGCTGCTTGCGACCTTAACTTAAATTTGCACCCCAATTTCTCAATTACTGGCCACTCTCCCGACATATTATCTTAAGAAAAGCACTTCTTTCCGTAACTTCTGTATCCGTTAAGCTATATCCTACCTATCGGAGCCAACCGCATCACGTTTAATGCAAAATGGAAAGTTTTCTTTGAATTTTCGTGAATTCACCTTGGAAGGAATTTACGAGCATCAATCAGTTGTCTAGTTATCATGCTGAATATTATACTACCACTTGGATAATATTTATTGTGATGATTATCCGAAAAGCGTTTTAAACTGTTGTTTTGCTTATGCTGTTTTACTTACGCAGATGTTTGTGCAAACAGGCTTTAGGTAATTTCACTAAGTCACTTTATTCCCTTAACACGAGTATTTGGGCTTTCTAAATTCCCACTATGAAAATAGTTATTTCAAACTAGTGTCATAGTTATATATGTTTCATGACTTTTCTTTCAAATTAATACTTCATTATTAATGGGGCAGTGCACAACACAGTTGAGGAAGGGTGTCTGACGTTTTAGAAATTGTTCGTGAATTTACGCATTTCCTGAGTTGCTTCGCTGCCTGTATTTGGTATGCTTACTAGCAAAAGGCTTCAGAAAGCTAGAAGTTGGTAAGCCGCGGAATTTGCACAAGTTTCATGAAGCGTATTCATTTTGCAGAAAATTGCCGGTATTTTGAGCGATAGTGTCTCGTTAATTTTTCGTTACTTTCTGCAGTACTCTTCTAGATATGACTTCAACAGTATACTGCAAAGTGTAAGTTTTTCCAAACAACATACACAGGCTGTAGTACGTTTGAGAATTTGTACATCTAATGTATACGCAAGCTCGCATTAACTGCGAAAAACCTAGATTTGTAAAGGTGAACCTGCGATCATGCCCGTCCAAATGAAATTCAAACATGCCTGCTCTCAGGTGCGTAACAGTATAGGAATAGGGAGTTTTGCCAAGACTTGCTCGTCATGTAAAATTACAGCTTGAGACAACGATAATCTGCGGACGAACTGTATTTGCTAACATGTTTCTTTCCCATGTTGCCCCCCTCTTTCTCCCTCACGATAGGGTACACAGCTCAAATTTACGCCAGCTATGCATGAGGCTCAGGGCGAAAGTCTGATGGATCTGATGGATAGCCTGGTTCAGGACATCACTGACCAGTCTCGACTCATTCCACTGCTCACCAGCAATCCACCTCTACCGGACCTGGCCGCAGAAAGAG